CAATATTTAATAAACCAAAAAAAGAAAGATTAATAAGCGTAAAAAATTGTATGACGCTACATATTAGATATAAATTAAATGCAAGCATATATAATGTCACGCATATACTGCAAATATGCTGTAAAGCATACATATATATATACACATATCTGAATTTAATTGGTGAAAAGGAGTAAATTGGGATAACAATAAAAAAATGGGACATGTGAGAATGTAATCAAAAGATAAAAGAAGATTAATATAGTAATAATAATAAATAGTAACAACAAAGAAAAGAATTTATTTATGTCACACGTATAAATTTTTGTTATTGTTGTCATTGTTACCATTGTTAACCCATTTGTTGGAACATTGACTTGTGTTGTTGGTTATTATTTGACAAAAAAAAATTTTTTCTTTGAAAATTTTTTTTGTTTGTATTTTTTGATGTATGCAAATTCATGCAAACGATGTCATATCTAGGAAAAAATTTTTTTAATAAAAAATAAAAAGGCTTGGACAATGACATATGAATGATTACGATAAGGCATATATATCATTGTTATCGATATCACATTACAAGTTGGTAATAATTATATGTATATTTACATAATTTTACATGATTTTACGCGAGAAATTAAAAAACGATAATAATTTTAATTGAGACAATTGTCATCCTGCCGTTATTATTTCATTCGTTGTGAACAGCCTTTAAGATTGTTAGTTATAATAATAAACAAAAAACGTGCAAAAAATTTTATTTGTAAATTGCGGGGTTTTATGAAAAATAGATTTTTGGCATATACCATATATGATGATGGATGAATGTATCTCGATGCACATTACATGATCGACAAAAATTTATTCCGGGGGGTTTATTTCGATCCAATCGATTGCTAATTGGTCGGTAATGTAGAGTATTGGCTAATGATGATGCAATAATAATTAATAGATGATGTAATATCCCCGCTTATTCCGCGTGAGTACATGTATATTTAATATTAATATGTTTGATATTAATATATACCCTTCCTTTTCGTATGTTCCGGTGGATTTAAAAATAATAAGTACGCATATAAACAAAAAACAATACATCTAACCAAATCCAAACAACTGATTCATTTAATGACTGATTAATTATTCGTTATTCTTGAATAAATTTAACAAATTTATGTTTTTATAATACTATATAATACATTAACTTGTATCACCTTCTATGAATTACTTTGTATGTGTATATTTCAATTTGTTTGTGTGTAACATCAAGAAATGTTATTGGATGAGAAAAAACTTGTTACTCAAACAGGTTAATTTAATAAATAAGATTATGAAGTTTTTCCATTTTTTTTCATCACCTTAATCAATCAATCAATCAATACATTCATATAATCATCACATACAGAAACGTACATTTAAAAAATTCCAATATTCTATTTCTTTTGATAATAATAATAATAATAATAATTAATTATTAATTAATCTATAATTAATCCAACCAATCCCTAAAAAACATACAGGCTTGGCAAGGAATTATTTGTTTATTTATTTATGCCTTTAGTTTTATACCTTGATTTGGAATAATATATGCGTGTATATGTATTATATGAATATCTACATTACTATTTTTACATAATATATATTAAAAAATAATTATATAATATTTGGGGCTAAAACTGAGTTGACGAATGGTTGTATTTAGTTAGAATGAAATTAAATTGTGATGGTGGTAGGGTAATTTATATGAGTTTTGAGGTTTATGATGAGATGAGCTCGCGATTGGTCAAGTTAATCAGTCAATCAGTCGGTCAGTAAAAGTCAACCTTAATTAACTTAGTGATGAGAGAGCGCTGTGATGTGTGTGTGTGTGTATGTGTAAACAAATTTAAAATAATGCCGAATTTTATAGCAATATAACAACAACGTAATAATGACGAGTTTTCCCTCTTTTTTGTGCGTGCCAAGCAGGTTGTTATCTTTTGTGCATTCGTAATGATAGATGACAACAATATAGATATTTAATAGTTATTATTCTTATTTGTTATTAAGTTTTCCCTTTCTCATCCATTCATCTGCTGCAATTGTGTCATTAATTCCATTTATATTTGTACTTACCAGGGGAATTTATTCTGAGGAACATTCTACGAGGATTTATAAGGTAATGCACTATTCTCACCGCCCATTTATTATATTTTGGAAACTATTAATTAGCCTCCTGGACATCAAACAAACATTAGAAAACTTTAAGCAATTTTATAACAAATATTATATATTTTTATCGCTACACTGCTAGAATAAGAATAGTAAACAAAT